ACTGTATAATTTCGAAATTTGAAGCAAAAACAGAATGGTCTGACTTTAGTTTTGTGAAACTAAATCTATACTACAAAAACTTATCTAAACGAAACAGCAGACGAGCTGAATGAGACGCAAATTCACTCTCTGCCAGCAGGTAGCACTTATGAACAGCAATGATATAGTATTTCCTGGGTTACCTCTGTAAACAAAGCAGAGCTGCGCTTATGAACACTACTTTAATATGCATCGTTCAGAGGCAAGATGAAAAGAAAATGCCATCTAAACTTTTCTAAAGACAGTCAGTTCCCCTCAGAGATACATTCATATGAACTCCTACCCCAGTTGTATTGCGATTTGTTTAGCATCTCAACTGATTTGAATCTTCACATATTTGTGTTACATATATATTACATCCCTAGTGAAATGGCATGCATGTTTATTTGGCTTGGGAACCAGAGAAGTTCAAGCAAGGAATGATGACTTCTGTCAAACTTGTAAGATGGTTTCTATAGGGCTGGACAATAATTCAATATCAATATGTATCGCGATATAATTTTTTTCAACAACGGTGATATGATTTTTAAACACATTTCCGATATTTCGATATACATTACCAGTGTTTCCCATACATTGATTTATTTGTGCCGTTTGACTTCGTTGAATAAACATGAGCACTGCACGATCAAAAAGGGGCATCTAGCATGAGGAAAGTGTCAGCGGCACTATCAGAAGACCGAAAAAGTGCTGGCCTCTGGAAGGGACCCTCGGGGAAAGGGAGACAGGCAGGAAAGAGGAGCTAAGCTAGTGTGACACTCAGCCTCTAATGAGTGGCAGCCACTTAAGACCTGTGAACCTTCTCTCGCCTCTGAACCGAAGCCCAAGAGCGCATCAGCTCAGTCGCTCTAAGGACTTCTACACATTTAATGCCCTGTCATCAGGACTAATCCTCTCTGCCCAGCACTGCCGTGGCACGGTGCCCGCGTGCAATATGCCTCTGCTCCTGCTGGGGTGCCATCGTGGACGCACATGGCACTGGAGCAGCCCAGGGAGAGTCGTGGGCAGAGAGAACAGAATCTTCCGGTTACAGTCACGTCCGGCGGCAACGTCCAGGGAGAGGGTTCTGATTACGCAGGATGTGGAGGGGCTGGAAAAAAGAGAGGTTTGGCTCACTGGGCCAGGAATGACTGCATTTCCCCCACCAAATCAGAGACAATATGATACCCCTCGTGAGAGTCGATGCACCTGCTGAAGAAAGCCATTTACAGATTAAATACTGATCAGAGCAATCTTCTATTTTTGATTACAATGCATCGAGAGCCTCCCGGTGCACAGTTGTCCTGAAGATTACAATAGAGAGGTTACATTCACACAAAATGCTTGTTAGGCACATTAGTCTCCGCATTCCTCATTTAGAATAGGGAATATCATCATGTCTTCGTGATGGGAATGTTGATTTGCCTTGCTTTTGTAGAGCTGTGTGTTTACCTTTGTGTTATGTGACTGTCTGACCTGTTTTTTTTCCTCCTCTTCTTTAAGAAAAGTAGCTGATGTCACTTTTAAGAAGTCAGCCTCACACTTTACGTTACCTACTTTTTATTAGTTTAGCTCCTCTGCTGGGGTCCAACACTAAAGGGAACGTCCTTCCTTTTATCTCTGCCTCCCATCTGAATCTTTCCCGACCCCCCACTTTGCCGTTCCTCCTGTGGAATCTGCGTCACATCTATTCAATAACAGTTTCAGGTCATGGCTTCAATTATATCCACATCATTCTGGTGCACCTTTGAAACTATAATGACTGCTTTGTGAGCAAAGACTGAACAAATAATAAAAGAGCTGCGTATGAACAAAGAGAAACCTCTGCGTAACCTTTGTGTTACTCGTTTGTAGTAGTAATTTGTAATATGAGGCTGTGGTTCACTTACTTGCTACAAGCTTGTTTTAGTGAAATTGCCTTGTCTGCTGATATATTATTAGTTTGGCTTTGCACCGATATTGAAATTCTGGCCGAAAAGCCAATGATTATTTGCATGTTATGTCTGATAGCAAATAAATATTATAAATAAAATTGATTGTTTTTCTCTTGATCAAGAGGTTTGAACAAGAGCCCGCAATTATCCAACATGGGCTGTCTAAATATTTAGTATTTACAGATACAGTGAAATTTGATCACTGATATTGTCCCTAAATCCTGCATTCCTATAATTAAAGTACGTTTCAAAGTTCATATCCATGTAGGGCTCCAAGTAGACAGTTGTTTGTTTGTGTTTAGCACTATCACAGAGTAACACATTTTGTCAGTATCACAGTGAGGGGGGGGTACTGCATCTTTTATGTGGCAGTCATATTGACTTCCAGTGTCATCAAATGCAGACACTCATTTGTTTTCTTGCTCTTCTTGTTTTTCTTGCAGAAAGTAAATATTTTCTTTATGTCGGTAGAGGCTGCTTCATATTGCTCTTATTATGGATGCCAAAGTGTCTGATCCCAGACTAAAATCTAGCTTGGCAGAGATCTGTTCCAGCACTAGATGGCTAGCATGCTGATGTATTGGCGTGTCTGTGCCTTTCAGAGCCCAGACTGCTTGTTATTTAGACTGGTAACCTCCACTTCTTCTCTGCCTGCTCCTTTCAGTGCCTCTATTCCCGAGGGCCTCCCTATCCCCCACCCAGACAAGCCTGAGCTCATTAGAACATTTCCCTGGATTAAAGTCTTCCTTTATGGATTACAACAGTTAAGATGTTTGAGCAGTTCTTGTCACAGAGACAGGTATTTAACTTTTAACGACTCGTTTGGCTGATTACCGCAGTTTGATGATTTTGGAAGCCATCGGCACTTTTTTTATTTTCATATTAGTTGTTACCGTTTGATCCATCTCGTCTAATCGAACCTCACTCTACCTGTGATTGAATGTTTGTCTTCTTTTGATGTTGTAAATGGGACGTTCCTCTCAACTGTGACTAATTAAAATTACCCCGTATGAATTGCAAGTGTTTACTGAGAAGTTCATTAGCCTCTCTGGGGCAATCAGTGGAAATTAAAGGTCATGTTTGCTTGTTTGTTTTTGGTGAGAGAAATGCTTTAACATTTTTATGAACAGGTGTCCAAAGCATGACTTGAATTTGAAATGCAGTTCTCAGGGGCTTCTTCGGTTGAGCTGCTGATATCTCCTCAAATGTTGGATTTGAGATTAAGGTTCAAATGCCACCTCCTTCTTTTGGGGAGCTGCATTTGCATAACTAGCTGCCTTTCATTTGCACACGAAAACAATTTCCTGTTATTTGTTTATTGATATGGATATATATTCATTTATTCCTCTTTATTTCCTGTTGAATATTTTATAATGTTAGGATTGCTGCCAGTATGTCATTTAGACCATTATGGTTTTGAAAACTACTTTCCTCTTGAATGTGACTGTTGATAAATTCTCCCACATAATCATAGTAATTTTTGTGTCATTTGTGTAATGTGTGAAGAAGACAGATTTCATTACTGAAATCAGATAATTGCAAAAAACAGATTTTTATTGTTGATGTGTAAGATTTATAAAGAGTATACGTTTATACATTTGCTGCTTAAATAATAATAATAATAGTAATAATAATATGCTAATTTGTATCCTCTTAAATTCTGTATTAATAATGTGCCACTTGTCACACTTTTATATAATTATTTTTGTTCACTGTTAGTCTATCTATAACCTTTTTACAATTATCAGTTCATTGCATTTTTATCAACTATTGCATTTTTCTTTAAAGGGGTGGTTCATTGCGATTTCACTTTTTTAACGCTAGTTAGTGTCTAATGTTGCTGTTTGAGCATAAAAAGAATACAACCAGAGCACATGCCGCCGAGGTGAGGGGCGGGACATTTAGACGCGCGTTAGAGTCTGTTTAGCCAATCACAACACACTGGGCTAGCTAACCAATCAGAGCCCATCGCCTATTTCTGAGGGAGGGGCTTCATAAAAGAAGGAAATGATCAGCCCGTTTCTCAGAGAAGGGACAGAGAGGTGTGGAATAAAGGTAAATTATGTGAAGAATAATGCGTTTTTAAAAAAACGAAGCATTAACACATGTTAGACTGCAACCCATACCATAAACACAATCATGCCTAGAAAAAACCCAGTGAACCACCCCTTTAACTGTTGTAAAACTGATATATTGTCTCATGTTTCCATAACAAGTCTTGTTATTTGTTACAGTTAGAAAAATCCAACTGCATTTATTAGTGAAGTTGAAATTATGATTTCCAAGTGTGGCTGGAAATTTGGTTTGCCATCATTCTGTTTGTGTAACCACTGTGGCATGCAGTTGAAGGGCAGTTGTGAAGCCTGGGCCGAGCTGCCTTTGTCTTTAATGAGAACCTACCTGTGGGTCATTCTGGGGTCTTGAATGCTATAAGGACTTTGCAGTTTTCTCCTGGCTCTGAGGCAGGGGTCTCCAGTACACTCCGATGACAGGGGTGCCTGCTCAAAATTGCCTGACCTCTACTGTTGCACATACAGGTCACTTCACCTCCTATGGGAACTTCTAAATTGAACCCAGCTTGCGCTTTCATTTTTTATTGTGCGCCACCCCACCTCCTCCTTTCTTTTCTCTCCTCTCCTCCCCTCCCATTCCTCTTATCTTCCATCTTTCTTCCCTCTCCCTCATGTGTTCAGTGAGGTGCAAAGTTATTCAGGGGTGGAGAAATGGATTTCTACCTTTAGTTTTGAAATACTATGCCTGGCTTTTTGCATTGTGAAGGACTTAGTATTTTTTAATTTTTACAAGGCAAAAGGAACAAGAGTGCTGTTATATTGACAGGGATGCGGGAAGTAGGGGTGCTGAGGGGGCTGCAGCACCCCCTGTTTTCACATGGTTGCAAATGCAACGCCAAGTTTGTTCATTTAAATTTATTCAGTTTTAGCATTTAATAATTTATTTGTAATGATCTCTGAAATGTAAATTGTAAGTGGGCTATAATAAACCCATGTTTATCTTTATAAACATGATTAATTAACCAGCCCCCCCCCCTTCACCCAACACGGACACACACAGCACCCCCAACTGAAAACATGTTCCCGCGCCCCTGTATATTGAGCTTATTTGCATGCTTGTCTCAGTGCATTGTTGTGCAGCTAATATTTACAAGAGTTTGAAAGTAAATGCCATTGTGTTCTCAGCTCTCTGGATCAAATGGCAGGGGAACTGAGGTGCACACACTGAAGCCTGATGTATTATTCCATTTCATGGAGTCTGCCAGCCTAGCACGCATATCCCGGTAATCCATACCCCTGCCGCTCACCCCACTTGAAATAAATAGGATTGGTATCTGTCTCCCTGACTCTCAGAGATGCAGTGATTGATGGATCTTGTACAGGATTAATTATTGAAGCTAGCGGTTTCCTCTCACAGACAAGACTATACAACACTGCCAAGAGCTGCCTGGAAGATGGCGTACACATAAAACCGCCCTTCATTTATGAATACAATATCACTGGGAGGGTCTAATAACGTATTGTTTAAAATTTAATGTACAATGTAATTTGGTTGCTCTTATTTACTTCTCAAAGTTCCAAGATTAATGCAGATGTGTGTACTTTATTCTCTTAATGCTCTTGTGAGTTTATTTGTGAAGGACATTGACCATTATTGTTGTTTTTTTCTTTCTTTTCTCTCTTGACCTCGTAGAGCTGCAGTGTATCAAGGCTAACTCAGCTTTATTAGTGTCCTGGTTCTTATGTCCCTCAGGTTTGGTCACGTGCATTATTTTGTACTTCATCCTGGTCAGCTGCTGTGTGTCAGGTAGTACAATCCTTTTTTTTAACCAATGGAAATGACCCCATCTGCCTATCTTAGTAGGGATAGGCCTGTCTTCATTTAGTTGTTTCACAGAAAGCACATTAGACGGAACTGTGCTCCATCAGTATGGAGAAAGAGGATGCCAACTGCAGAGGTGATTCACAGAGACTTCGATAGACTCCCACATCCTGGTGCTTTTCGTTCAGATCAGTAGGTGGGAAGTTCTAGCTTAATCAGTAGAAGGGCACGCGAGCTCTTCTGCTTCACAGGATCCCTCCTCTTTTTCTCTTTCTTGTTATGTGCTGGTCTTTGATCTTTAAAGGTCCTTGAGAACGAAGAGCCAGCAGGCTGGGACTCTCTTCCTTTGGATTCCTGCCCATCTGCAGCTCCATCTAACGGACATCCCTGGACACAGCAGGCCTTCTTGTCTTTCTCGCTCTCTCTTTTCCACTCCTTTTCTGCACTCCCTCTGCTCACACTCGCGTCAGCCCATCATTATACTGATTTCCTTTCTTCCTATGCACTCATTTGTTTTGAACCATGATATATGCATTTGCATTTATCTATCCTTTTTGTGTCGTCGCAGGTAATCATTTTTACAAATTCAAAGCGGCACTAAGCGCTGACAAATGCACTTCTCCCCTGTTGGCAAAATCCCTCTCCTAGAGTCGTGACAACAGGTCGCAAGCATTCATTGCATAAGTGTGAAGCATTACACAAGGTTTGTCGACCAAGAACATGAGTCTTGGCAGCACAGCAGGACTCCCTGGACTTGCTGCTAACTGGACTGTCATTAAAGTCTAAGTTAAACATTGTACTGGTGTCAAAATCTGCAGGGGTTTTGCCAAGGTAACATGATATTTGCCAGATCACATTATCCCTGTTTTGTATTAAAATAGGTGGATTGCAAAACAAAGATATTTCTCCTGCTGTGAGCGCTATGCCTCTGTCCACTCTTCACACTTTAGGTTTAGGATCTCCTAACACATGTTCTCTCGCAAAACACTTAAGATCTTTCAGAATCTTCACGTTACAACTTAGCAGCTTATGCCTGCAGAAATTCATCTGCTCTTCAGCAAGGTACTAAGATTATTGGGGTAAGGAAGCCTTTGATCTATGGATTCATATATCATTAGACCTCATGCTACTTGTAGAGCTGTCTGCGGACAGCAATGGATGACACTGCCTGACCTTTACTGCTTCCAGCATTCCATTAAATCACAATATGAAAGGTCGCTCTTCATCGTTTTTATGCTCTTAAATGTTACTTCTGCCACATTGGTCAGAGTGTTGAAGTCCCGTGACAGGTGTCCTTCATGAAGGTCGGCACTTGAGTTTTTGTCCTACACTGCTAGATGTTGGCCAGTGTCCACCATAGATCCATATGTCAGTAAATGCCAGGCTAAAAAGGCTGACATGGCCATAATCATTAATACCACCAGTTGCTACTCATGCTATATGGGATGAAAGAGCATAGTGATTGCTACTTACTCTCACAGTATGTCCCTGCTCTAATTGTAGTCTGATTGCAGATGATCGAAGGTGTCAGACATCTTCACATACCCAGGAGGGGGTCATTGCACATTTAAAGGTACAGTTCACCCAAAAATTAAAGTCATTTTTCAAACATTTTTAGTCCTCTTCAGTTTGTTACAAACTCACTCTGTTTCTTCTGTATAACAGAATGGTGAGTTATTGAAGAATATTCTGGCCACTCTTTTATTATAATTAAAGAGGAATGAAACTGTCATTATGAAAAAGCACCGTAAAAGTATCATAAAAGTGGTTAATTATATTCCAAGCCATTATACTATAGATTTGTAGAATTTAGGTAGAATTTAATTAACCCACAACTTAAAGGTCTGTCATCATTTACTCACCTTGATGTTGTTCTAAACCTGTATTTATTTCTTCTGCAGAACATAAAAGAATGTTGGTAACCAAACAGTATTGGTGACCATTCCATTGTATGAAGCATGAGCACACACACACACTGTCACGGGTGCACACACACGAGGGACGAGGAGACGCTGGAGAATACTTTACACTTGGGACATTTCTCAAAATATCATCTTTTATGTTCCACAGAGAAAAAAAATTGACAGGTTCAGATTCAACTTACTCAGTGATCCAGTTACAATGGTTTACAGGTCTCTGTAGGTGGAGGTGACGATTATCGTTGAATGAACTTATTGTGTCCTGTTTGTCACTCAAATCTTCCGTATGGTTTCAGAAGACTTTAAATTTAGCACATCAATAGTACCATAACATGCATTGTAATTGCATGGAAAAGAGCAACCAGTCCATTGTTAATTTTTCATATTGTGCTATTTAGAAGAAAGAAATTCATACAAATTCAAGTTTGGAATGACATGAGGGTGAGTAAATAATTAAAAAATTTTCATATTTGGATGAACTAATCCTTTAAGACATTACTTACTCTCATAAGAACTGATGAAGGGAATTAAATCACCAGTTAAAATCACCAATGTTTCTTTTGGTTTATTCCAGCACGTGACCTTATTCACAATTTTTTAAACCTGAAATCTGTTTTGATGAATGAAGTAATTATTCAGATGGGGAAGCATGCCTCCATGCTTCTTAATCACCTTACATACAGATTTTCTTGCTGAAATCTAATTAGACTATGAATGCTCCTTCCGTTTGAATGAGCCGAATTTTGGATGCGAACACACAGCCCCCGTAGCCAGAGGTACACAGTTGCAGCGTGTATAAGTTATTGTGTGTATCAGTCCTGAACACAGGACCTTCTTCACATTTAAATGAATCCAGAAGTGACCCACTCAACCAGGAAATAGCTCCGATTTGTAAATGCTTAGCTGTGAGTTTGAGGCCTCGGATTTCTGTTTGTGTTTCACTTCCACCTTGGACCATGTGATAGATGTGTATCTCAGAGAGAAAGGCTACAAAAAATTGCATTTCTGTCCTGTCTCTTGTCTGTCCAAGAAAATAGAGACTGCACAGCGGACTGTGGAATAGGTTTGGTAATCCGGCATTGCTGGGACTCAGGACACTCTGTATCATTGGCAAGATTCACAAGCACATGCTCTGCCGCCGAAGCCAGAAAGGTTGAGGTGTCGACGGGGTGTGTTCGGGTAGTTCATTAAAACGTGCCCTCTCCTAACCCCTTTTCTCCTTGCAGCCTGTCCTTTAGCGAAACCTTGAGGTTCCATTGAAATTCCGCCGAGCTTTCCTCTTTTGAAATATCTGTTGATGAGGTAATGCAGGGCTGCGATAGCTCTCTGCTCCCTCTGCTGCTGAACATTTCTCTAAGTCATGTTTACATAATTAGCAAACTCTCAGAAAGCCTTGGCAATTTTTTAAAAATGAAAGGAGCTAGTTAGTAGTCCACTCGGTGTGTCTCCCTCTCCAAGACCACTGTGCTGAAGATACGCTGATATGCATACATTCAAAAAGCACGGTAACACACAAAAAACAGCTCTTTTCTCTTTGCTTGCATATTTTTCACATACATTTTATTGTCATTAACGTGTTGTATGCTATGCCGTGGGATTAAGTATTTTGTGTTTTTGTATGCATGAGCTTGTAGCTTACATAATGAGCTTGCAGTGTTTTTCCTAAAATAAATGACTGAGGCATACTGTTAATTATTGTAAATAGATTTTTTACTTATCACGCCTGTCCAGCATTCCTCTGTGCTGCTATCAGCTTCTGAAATGCTATTGTTTTATTTACGGCTTCTCTTACAGTAATTAGATGTTTCAAATCGGTGAAGAAACATAATTAGTGGCCATTCATTTATGAGGGCCCACACTATTGTTCACAACAGAGATGTGTGTATTAAAGTTATTTTTGTCCCATGGCTATGTAGAGACATTATGCGATTAATCATTTTAGTACAGCCCAGATTGGCAATGGACAGTGTGATGTTGTTGAGTCTCACTTTGCCCCCTCTTTGACCATATCACTGAATCTAATTATGTAACCAACTTCAGAAGTGTGACAGTTATATTAGCCTAGTTATATGCTGGAGTGAATTACTTTTTCAGTTTGGACTTTTGTCAAATTTTCATTTGTACAGCGCAAGTTACAATAAAAATGCTAATTTTTTTAGAGTTCAGAATTTGCCTGCTTAGGAGAGCTTTCTCACCACAGATAGAAAAAAACACTCTTTAATTACAAATGTGATGAGGCTGTAAATCTCTCTCCCTCTCCTTTGGTGTTGTCTTGAGAGATGAATCAGCTAAAGCACACCGGCATCCACACACAAATCTTCATTAGATGTGGTTGATAAACCATTAATCCATTCTTTCACTCTTTTTTTCTGTTTTTTTTTTTTTTTAACATTCTGAGTCTGAAATGAAATATCACAAACCTTAGTCAAGATAGACATCATGTTTAATTTAACACAGATGAAAGGGAGACTGGGATAGATGTACAGTTTTTAAATAGGCTACCCATACTTTGGTGTTACTTTTACTATTTGTTTGCTAAATACTGAAAATAAATCTTTACAGAAGAGATGTGCTCCAGGACCTTAAAGAGTTAAGCTAAAAATGAAAATTCTATCGTTTATTCACCCTCATGTCATTTCAAACCTGTTATTTTCTTTATTGAAACACAGAAGTTGAAATTCTGATCAATGTCAAGCTCCCAAATGACTGACTGACTGAGTAACTAACTAATTACAATCAATCAGTCTAACTACAATCAATCTAACTAGATTTAATCTACCATCAACTAACTACAATAACTACCTTTAGTTTTACCCTGTTTGTTAAACAAATCAATCGGCTTTAGAAGACTTTTTTTATTATATGAAAAATAGTGGTCAGTACATTCTTCAAATTTTAAAAGCATGTAATACGACTTTGGAATGATTTGAGTGTAAGTCAATGATGACATTTTCAATTTTGGGTGAACTATTGTGCCCGCTCTATGTCTAGTCTTTACCCATCATTTCAGCATTCGCAGACAGATCTTTGATCTCTAGTGTGCATGTAGATATGCGTGTCTGTCGCTACTCGAGTTTGTATTCTCTGAAATTGTAGTAATGATCAGCTTTCCAAAAACGAGAGATTTAAATGGAGAGTAATGAATGCTATATTTGATAAACAGCATACAACTCAGATCACAGAAGGCTGTAATTTGCACTATTTGTAGATCCTTGATTCTCTCTGTATCCGTGGCTCTTGCATAAGGGTCAGTGTTTCATTTGTCCCACTGATTGCTTGTTACGTTTTCTCTGACTCGCATGAATCATGTAAAATCAGACCATTTTCTGCCCCAGAACCAGTTTGTGCTGCAAGTTTATTTTCCTGTCAAGTGGCTGGAAATATTCCTCCCTCTGTTTGCAGCTCCAGCAGTTTCTGAATTTGATTAACCAAATTGCAGAAATTTCTCAAACATTTCCAGAAAATTGTCACCGATAGAGACACTGGGAGATGAAAACCGCCTGTGTGTGACCTTGCGAGAGGCAATCAATGGCCTTTATCTTGCCCAGCACATTATAAATCCTACCACCAGTGTGGTCAACAGGTCCTTGTAATATATTGACCTGCGGTGCAGCAATTTATCAGTTTGTCTCTGAGGTTAAATAATTTAGTTTTTCAGCTCAGCCCATACTTTTTCTTTGCTCCTCTTCATTCCCAGAGTTCCCCTCATCAAAGCTGGCCATGAGTTTTGGCTGATTTTGATGGATTGAAGTTGCAGATGTGGCATGAATAACAGAAACTCTTTTCTAATCGTAGATCTCATCTGGAGAGGAAACAAACATTGCTTCCTTTGTGTTTACCTCTGTAATTTTGCTCTTCCTTTGCTGTTGTCTGTGGACATGGGCCCTGGAGTTATAACCTCTTGAATCAACACAGGAGATCAGCGCATGCATAGTCGGCAAAAGAAATTGCTTTCATTTACTGCAGCAAACTATGGATTTTTTTTTTTGTTCTGGCTCTCCTAGAGTAAAAACTAGCACCTGAAGACTTCCTTCTGCTTTTTAAATTGGTATGTAAAAAATACCACAGTGATTCTGTTCTCTTTTTTTAAATTTTTGACAGGGCTTGGTTTATTGTTTGAGTATGTATACTGTAATAATAAACAAGAGCCTGTGGCCTTCACATGAGACATTTATGGAAGGCGTGATGTGCTTGACATACCTAGGAAAAAATCCCCAATGTTTTCCCTCACCTACTTTAAATCAGCACTTGCTTGGGAGCAGTCGTAAGCCGAAAATTCAGAGATGCTCTTTACGAGTGTTATGTCCCTTATTCCTGTTTGTCTCTTTCATTATCACTTCTTGAGCACGACGGTAGCAGCCAATACTTCTTCAAGCAAGATATATGCAGTGGGGAATTAACAGGAGATTGATGTAGTAGATACCAAATACCCGACAAGAGAGGATTGAGTGGGCTTGAATAAGAAATACACAGCTAGGACGTGCCAAGGTCTGGGCTAAACCTTGAGCCAAAATTCCCCCTCAACTAAACTTTGCTCCCTGAGATGAAAGACAGAATTGTTCTGATATTCTGATCAAAGCCGGCTATCTCCAAACTCCAAAGGAACACCTGGAAATCTGCAGAAATATGAGCATGCACAAAAGAACATTGTGATGCATAATGTATCTTAAGTGCTGTTTAGATTTTTATATAAACATCTGACTAGGGTGTTTATTAATTCATTTATTTATGTTCGTTAATGAATTTATTTATTGTTTGCCCGCCTCCGCATTTAGTACATTTAGAAGACTTTTAATCTAAAGCTGTTTGATGTCTCTTCTCACTAGTTTGTTATACGCTTTGTGGTTGGTTCTGGATCCATGAGTACTCAAGATTTAAGGATTTATTTATTTATATATTTAGTTACAGAAGCAACTTCTATATTAAAAAAGTTTCTTTCAAAGACAATTTTATTTATATAGACCTTTTTATAATTGGGCTTTTTGCCTTTATTTTATAGGACTGAAGAAAGCAGACAGGAAAATAGGCTGAGAAAGAGAGCGTGATTGGGAAATGACCCAAGACAGACTTTAAATTTTTTTAAATTTTTAAATTTTATTTTTTTTATACAAAAGTCCATTACAGAGTAATTTGTTATTTGAGTGACCAGTACTGCTATTTGATTGACAGTATTGAATAATTATTCTATAAAGGCTTTCATTTTGTTGACCTGTGTAATTGTGTGCTGGGACTTCACGGTGAAGTGAGCCATGAAGAACGCGATGTTCTAGTTTCTCCACAACCTGTTAACACATCATGTTTTCCCGCTGCCTGTTTGACATGCTGACTTTTTGAATGAGTGAGCCAAGCTGCCAATACTGTGTAGATTAGAACAAGCTCACAAAAGAGGCAGAACTCCATACCTCTATAAATGTCACCATCACACTCCTATTAAATGGGCCGGTGCTGCTAAAAGCCGACGTAATTGCTGCGCTTTTTTCACACGTTCCCATCAAGGCCAAAGGGTCTGGCAAAGCCTGTAGATTATTCTGTGTAACACATAGGCACAAATGATGTGTGAACTGATGTTTGATTGTGTGGATGGAGTGAGGTGTTATTGTCGGAGGTGCTTATCAACACATTTGCTGCGGGGTCTCTGAGTCTCTCCGTAAATATTAGTGCTTTTTAATACCTGGCCTTTGACTCCAGTGAAGCGTACGTTGTTATTAATCCTGCAAATAAGCTTAATGTCTCCGTAATTAGAGGAAGGTAAAAGATGCTAATGCAACAAGTGAATGTTCTTTAGGTTTTTTTTTTTTGGTAGAAAGCACCGTTATGAATGGTGGGCTGTCGAACCACAGGATATTATGTCTGGAAATAAGTCCTGCATTATTGTTTGAAATTTCTTTCCACTTACATACAAGTGCTGCACTTCAGAGAGAAAATGTCCTTAGGGTTTCCTGTTACAAATGTTGTTGCTTGAAACATAGCTTTCAAAGGCATTTTCTTGTTTGTTGACAAACAACGGTCTCGAAAAACGGCTCCCTCAGGCGTTACGGCAGCAAACCTCTGATTTAAACTGCAAATATCTTTTCTCGGCTGTTAAGGATGATAATCTGTTATATAGGGAGGGGATGCGAATTTCTGCTCCATGTCCTCCCTGAGCCAGTGAGGCATGTTATCTGATATGGATGCTCACCGATAGACTGGAAATTTTGGCTGTTTGTGTGCACCTCCCTCACAGGGTGGACTACCATGTAAATAATAGATACCCTTGGGTGTGAATCACACACAAGATAACCTTCAAGACAGTCATGGATCAGCAGCTTCACATTAGTTGATAGGATTAAGGAAAAAATATCTACAGGAGTCTCTTAATAGAAAAGACAATCACTGTCTGAGAAAAGAATTGAGACGTGTGTTTGGAGCGAAACAGGAATGACAATGAGCTGGGCTGGTGATATTTCACAGCACTCATGGTCAGTTTTGGATCATGTGACTTTGTTCTCAAACACTGGATTGAAATTAGTTCACACTATTATTTGCTGCTTATTGTTTTGTATTGTATTATATTTTATTTTATTTTTAAAAGAGCACTAGGACATAGACTAGAAAACTGCTTTGCTGTCCTCCCATCTGTCCATCGAGAGAACTTGTACACCAAACAAGCTGTGCTTCTGTCCTCTGAAAACTGGAACCTTGCTGTGCCACACAGCTATGCTTCTCCATTTTTCCCTTTTTGTAGGCTAGATTAGCACAACAAATGCTATAGAGTTTTGACGGCAACATTACAGCACTGGATCTTGACTAAATCACTATGACAGAAATAACAAAGCTGCCATATTCCTGAAAGCCTAGTATCTTTGGAATAATGTTGATATTTTTGCTAGAGTTCACAAAAGCGATTTTTTCCCCCCACAATTTTTTATAAAGTTAAAGTTTTACAAAGTTATAAAGAGTTTATGGAATGCAAAAATACATCTAAACTTTACAACATTTGGTTTTAAACCAGGCCCACCCTAATCTGATTTTGCAGAACTCTGCAGAAAAAGGATAATTGTAACAGCAAAACTTCACAAGGTTTCACTTTACTTGTGCTTTTATTAAATATTTTTAATATGAAAATGCTTTCAGCTACCAATAAGAGTGTAATACTGTCAGATCTTTTGAACTTCTTTTACTTTTTTCAATCCACAGAATTATCCAGATTTTCCTCAAAAAAAAAAAAGTGTGAAGTCTACAGATTCTTTTTGGGCTTGGTTTAAACACAATGAAGTCGATTGGTGTAGTGTTGTCACATTGTCTAATCGTAACATTCGACTAGTGCTGATTTCATTGATAACTAATAATTATCATCTGATGTTGATACAGTTCTTATTGTCTCTAGAATGTTCGTATGGTTTAAGTGACCTGTTCAAATATAATATGTTTATCTAATGGTTATTTGCTGAAGTATAAATCACCCTGTTCCCCATAAAAAAGACAGATCTACGAATAAAATACCCATATTGCAAGCAATGTAGGAAATGATTGCAGCAAACGAATGATTACAATGAGCATGAAAGTCTTGCTCTCATTACTCAGCCGTATATGAGATATACTTAGGGCGGCATTAACGTAACTTTGGAAGAGGAATTAGAGAGTAATAACTCATAAAACAGTGCAATTAGTACAAGCAGCTGTAACACTGTGACCCCCATTCATCAAAGCAATTGGTCTTGCGTATTTAAATTGTGAAGCAAATTTATTTTTTATTTTGGTTATACAGCAAAATCTGACGGCTTGATTTCAGTAGAAAGTTCAGAGAACAAGCATGACGATAGGGGCCACGGAGCTCGTGTGAACTCTTGGGATGGAGCTCATCCGTGTGGAGCTTCTTTGCTTCCGGGCTCCTCTGAAGGACAAGGAGACTGCAGGCGGTTCGCCGCTCAAAGGCTAATCCAGGGTCTGTAGGCAGCTTTATTAAAGAAGTGTAATTAGCCACAAAGGAAGGTGGGCTAAAGGGGAGACCTGCAATAATTGAAGTCTGTAGAAGATGTTGTATGTGCAACCTGGTGTCCTGTGGTCTTGTAGCATTAGCTCTTAAGGTCACGCAGCCTGGAGGGCAGAACAGCAACATGTTTAAATGTAGTTTAAATGTTCTTACTCTGGCAGTAACAAACCAATCCTGAGATTCCCAGGCATTAGAGCTCAACCCAGATGATATATAATGTTATATACTATACTATATATTATTACTACTATTATTATTTGTGTGTATATATCTGCATTATATGCTGCTGTTGAAAAATACATTCATACATTGCTCTTTTTGTAGTGACAGAGGCATCAGATGTTTCTTGCAAGACCTCTTTTTATACTCTCAGCAGCCTTATTGTAGGAAATACCCAGAGTGCCACTAAATTCAGAAATGAAGACTCTGAGCTATGAAACAAAGGCCTGATTTGCCTTAATCATCATTTGCTCTAGAATGGAAAATCAATGGCCTTTGATGAGAGTGTTTTGCAGTGTGACAATTTGAAATATGAGATTGGATGTTTAAAACGGCTCCTGTCTTTGTTGTTTTGGAACTTCATTCTTTTAATGTGTGGGAAGTGTTCCATCTATTATGGAGCGCTTGTCTGTCAAGGAAATTAGTTTCCTGGAACTTTGAACAGAGGAGAAAAAAACCCCTAGAAACCTAGAAAGATTCTTCTTTTTTCATTCTTTGGTGAAATTGGGCTTTGCACAGGCAGCTTGGCTTGCATAACAGACGGGATAAATGTGTCACTCACTGTCAGTGACAGTCCTCTGAAGTAACATTTGATTAAACCTGCTTTGCCAGTCTGGAGCCCAAATAGAGACAAACGGCTCTGTATATTCTTATCTGGGCTTAAATTTGAAGAAATATTGATGTGCTAGTTTGACTTATTTATTTATTTATTTTATTTTATGTTTTTAAAGTAAGTTCTTGACTTTTTATTTTGATTAAATAATAAAAATATAATATGCTCAGATCTTTTATTCAGTAAAAATTGTGGTCAGGCTTTGAATATAGACAGTTTGACAAATATTACTTTGAAGACTACATTGATTTCTACATTGAAGTTTCTGTATTACAGGATTCCCACGGTCATAGAAAAAGTGGAAATGTCAAGGAATTTTAAAATTGTGATTTTCAGGTCTGGAACTATCATTACCAATTCATGAATTTTTGTAGTGAATATACATTTTTTTGGGCTATAAATTATTTATCTGTTTATGGTTAGGGACCTTGTGCTGCATTGAAGTCTCGGGCTGTTTTTTGGCTACTGAAGACATTTGTACAATTAAAGTGTAATCATTTATATCTATAAATTACTAATCAGGAATGACTGGAAAAATTATAGAAATTCATTGGTCAGTAGAGGTAGGAACCTATATTAACAATGCTTGTTGCTTAGTCTTAATTTGATCACTTGCTGGCATGTGAATAGCACACGTAAAAAATTAATCAGAATGGTGGTTCTACAACATGTATGTTTCATGTCTTTTAGATGTTGTTTTAGGCCATTGCTTTTAGTAACAAAAAGGAGGCTGATGTGAGGTAAATAAAGCTAGTCTCCTGTATTTGTGATGCGCAAAGCAGCTGTAGTTTGTTCTAATGATGCCAACCTGACAGCAATACCTCCACTTAAATGTAGTGGTTCCATACAGCAGGAGGTCCTTCTTCAAGATGAAGTTTAGAATTGCTCTTTTGCTTTTTCTAGTCGTCTTTCTTTGTGTTTGGATAAGAGATTATAGATGAATTAGTAGCAGTTTTATTATGGCAGTTCATCCCCTGACTCCAACAAACAGAGAACTTCAGACTTCTCAAGGTCAGTTAGGCATCTTATTAAAGCCACGGATTTTTCTTATTCTCGTCACATCGCTTGGTATTAAGGTAAAAACAAACAATTAATTAAAAGTACATTTGTGTCTCTCTCTCCTCTCCCAGACACTACATGCCCTTGTCCTCTGCTTGTTGATGCCACTTTATTTATTTATATATTTTGGAATATAAAAGTGTAATTTTGAGAGAATTACATATAATAACCCATATGGCGGTGAGAAGAATTGTGTCAGATGCAGTTCTTGA